AACATATAAATAGATGCCAAAAACTTCAATTAGAAAATTTTTAAAAAAGGTATATTTAGTCCAAAACAAGTTGCTCTCGCAGCATATATATTGCTAACATAGATTCGGACAGTTTATAAAATTTCATAATTTTTAGCAAAGTAGTCCTTTGAAACTTATTTCAAATTTGAAAGTGAGGGTAACTTTTAAGGAAAATTCAAATATATGATGAAAAATATTAATTAAAAAAAATTAAAAATCATTTTTTTGCAAGAAACAAGCAACATGCTAGGCATATGTATCACTAATAAAGTGGTAGAAGTAGTAAATATAAACTTCTTAAAGAATATTTATTTAGTCCGAAACAATCTACACTCAAAGCATATACATCTTTAACGTGGAGATGGACAGTTTGAGAATTTTTAATAAATTTTTCTAATGAGGAAATCATGTGAATCTCGCATTAGTTTAAAGAGTGAGCGTCACTTTAAAAAAAACATAGAAATAGATGCTTAAAAATACAAATATAAATTTCATAAAAATATTGGTTTAGTCCGAAACAAGCTACACTCAAAGCATATACGTACATCTTTAATCTGGAGTTTTATTATTGACATTATGACTAAAATATTAAATTATAATTTTATTGGATGAATGGGTCTGAAGTGTGACACAATTTAAATAACTACATCTTCAGTCTAATCCGTGTGCGAAAATTATGAGTTTACAAACTTTTGAGTGTACAAACCAAGACTTCAAAATTTAGTTCAAATTTAGTTAAAAGCGGTAGAAATCAAAGTAATAAATTATTGTATAGTTCTTCCTGTTTTTTCCCTATCTTAAGTAAACATTCAATTGTCATTTATTGAAATATAATTCCTGGATGTTTATAATAAATACTTTTGGAAATTATTATTGTTGAAAATCTAGTAATAAATTTTANTTTTTCATGTCTTTAAAAAAAAATCAAAAAATTTTGATAATTAAATTTAAAATGCTTTTTCGGCAAGCGCTATGCTCAATTAGATTGTATTCGACTTAAATTGATGATATCGGTCAGTTCTTCATTCATACAAGATATTCAATTTAAAGGAGATACTTAACTTATCTTAACAATATTGAAACGTACTTTATCGAAAATATATGCTAGCCCCTAATCAATACTTGGGTAATACAAAATAATTTTATTTTTAAACTCTCGTATTAATTTAAATAGAACAATAATAAGAATGTTAATTATTAAATGTAAAACGCGTGTACGCTTTCCTGACAAACACTGTACATACTTAAAAATATTTATTTGATAATGTCTATAAGTTCTTCATGATATAAGATTATGAGGATAGAGATGTCTAAGTTATCTTAAAAATACTGAATTGTCAAGTGTAGAAGTTACTTGAATGATATTTAAAATGATTTTGTTCTTTAATAATAAACTAATTCATTTAATTTCAATGTATAATTTAACATATTTTACAAGTACTGCTTAAAATACTAATTAAAGTACCAATAATTGCTATATATCCTTGATTAAACATATTATTAAAAAGAATTAGTAAAAACTTAAAAAAGCAATTTTAAAAAAATATTCATTAGCTAATAATAATAGTTCAAAAAAGCATTCAAGAAATGATTAACTTAAGAAGCCCCAGTTTTTATCTGGCACTTAAAACCTAAAGTGCTTTTCAATTAATTTGATGAATTTTTCCCTTAAAATCAAAAAAGCTACTTATATAACTTTGAAAAAATTTCACAATAAATTAAAAGTGAGAAATTGACAGAGAAAGGATGTCATAAAATTAACTCAATAGCATAATTCATTTTTTTTTCTAAATATATCATTTCTAATAAATATTTATAAATAAATTACTTAAGCATGTTAAAGTAAAACATTTTGAAAGCAAAAATAAGGCGCATATAATCACTTAATAGTTAAAAAGCAACCGAGACTGATAAAATAATTATATTAAAGGAACATTTCATTAAGTAGCATTTTTTTAACTAAAAAGGACAAAAATCTTTTTGTTGAATGACCTCCAGCTAAAAAGTTTAATATTTATTTAAATAGAAGATATTTTTTGTTAAATTCGAAGAGGCGTTATTAAAGATGGTTCCTATAATTATCATAATAAGCCAAGATGAATAATTTAATATGATGTGAAACTTTGAAAAAGAAAACAATGAACGATATCGATTTCAGATAGAAACTCATTACTAAAAAAATATTAGTTGTGCACTCCTTCAACTGGAGTTAATTATGTAAGCTAAAATATTAGAAAAATGATTAAAAATAACTAGCAGGGACAAAAAAAACTACTTTTCTATTACACCCTTATCGAGTTGCATCAAAGTCTCTAAATAATATTTAAAAAAATTGCTGTTTGTAGTTTATAAATCATTAAGTATTTTAAGTTTATTGCAAAGAAAGTGAAATACTATTTTTAGTTTTTATTGTTAAACCAATAAAGAAGATGGATAATGTATATGCAATTAACTTGTCGAAGAAAAACATGTACTTTGAAATTAATTTTGAAATTAAGATAAATGAAGGAAAATGTTGAATTATAGTGAAGTTTTAAAATGTAAACGAACTTCATCGGTTTTTTGCTAATCAAAATTGATTTCATTTAAGGAAAACTTTTTTTATTTCATTATGTTAGTTACAGTGCCTAATTTGGATTTTATATTTTTATTTATTTTTTATGTAGATCACTTAATTAATTTTATATTAATCACTGATGATTTATTTTAATTTAAAATTTAAGTTAGTATCCAATGAATCTCATTACAAATGCATGTTGAATTGAGAAAACACACATGGTCAAAACTACTAGAATATACTAAAATTTACCGTTTTTCTGGCACAATGTAAACGACTAGAAGCTTATAGTAATTTTTATTAAAGCGCTTTGATAATGATTATGGTGAAACTAACAATAAAATATGGTTTTATAACACTTGATAAAATTTAATAAGTGTGGTAAGATTTGGTGACCTAAGATGAAAATGAGTAAGAAGAAAATGACTTCGGGGATCTCTGGATCCCTTCGGACCGTCTCAGCTCTCTTCAATGCCTCCACAACTGAATTGCAATTGGAGATCAATATAGTATTTCCATTCTCCTGAAACTCAAGCTAATTTCAAAATTCCATGATGTTTATTTTCAGTGGATCCCATCTCATGTTGGCATATACGGCAATGAGCAAGCTGATGGAATGGCCAATGAGCGCTGTTACCACGCTAATCTTTCCTCTTCAATCCTTACCTTTTTAGAACATCAATCCATAGTTAATTCTGAAATTTCGAAGGGGTGCAAGATTCCTCCCTGCCATCACTGGTATGCGGGCAAAGATCCAGGTTCTTCACTGGCCCTCAATTGTGACAGAGTTTCTAAAACCGCAATTTCCAGATTAGCAAGCGGTTACACAAAAAGTCTCTCGTTTTTCGAAGGCAGGAGAATCTTCGATGTCTGCTCCAAATGCCAAACTGAGCAAGCTTCTCCCGAACACATCCTGGACAGTTTGGGACTTTCCCGAGAAGACATATATTCATCTCCCCTTCTGGTTCACGGTTTCCTTAGGGTCAACAGTCTGATGGACCTTGTCTGACTTCGCCAGGCATTTGGAGAATTTGCTACAACTCACAGCAACACAGATTTGGTAATTTCAATTTAATAATTTAAAGAATGGCATAAATACCATTTAATCGGTAAAATTTATCTTTCAGTTCCGTATTTCTTACTAAAGATGTGGTATTTAGAACTATAATTTTGAAAATCAAAATTTCAGGCAAACCGTTACCATGTGAAAGGAAAAATTACGAAATTGCTTTTACGCTGTAGGTTTGTACGCTCGATGACCAATGGTGTGTGTTACGTTAAAAGCATATTTTCATCAGGAGGGAACGTGGCTCTAGAAAGAATCTTGCATTCGTGCACGAAAGTGTATAAGATTTGGCTGTGGGAAAGGGATGGTCTATGCTGGCATCCCCATTGATGGGTGCACTCAATTCCGTATCATTCGAAATGGAGCTCTGGCTGACCGCCGATATAGGGATGAAATAATGAGACCTATTGTGGTCACTTACTCTGCATCAATTGGAGATGACTTCATGCTAATGGATGACAATTGCAGGCCACATGATTTCTTTTTGGAAGAAGGAATCATTCGAATGGATTGACCAGCGTGTTTTTCGGACATGGACCCAATCTAGCATGTTTGGAAAATTCTACGAAGACAAATCACTGGACGACTACCTCCGCAAACTCTCCAAAAACTGGAAAGGGCTCTTCTGGAAGAGTGGGACCGGATAACCCTGCCCCTCATTAATAACCTCATTGATTCGATGCCTCAAAGTTGTTTAACGTTGCTGGCCGTCCTTGTAAACAATGCCTTCTACTAAAAACATTTTTTTATGGAAACACCTTTGTACTTGTTTTTCTCATATGTACAAATTGAGTGTTTTTCCTTTTGTACCCAAATGCTCATTTTTAACGTATTTCTTTCCTGCCATACAAATGTCTTTTTTATCTCATATATATCACGTCTGTCGATTATGTATCAATCATTCAAACAATTCTCCAGGTGCAAAAGCAACCCACAACCTCAATATTTTTTTTAATTGTTTTGAGCAGTGAAGTATTCGGTCTACACGGAAATAACAAAGTAAATTTAAACAAATAGATACTATTTAAACACATCAATTATGGATTTTTCTACGTACAAAATTTCAAATAGGAGAATGCAGTTTGACAGATTTTTTCTTATTAGAAAGATCAATCAAACAAACACATAAAAAGATGTCGAAATCATTAAGTACATACCAAACTAATTCAAATAGCAAGAAGAATTTGTCACCTAGAAATGTAAATATTCGAAATAATAAAATCATCAATAACCAGAAAGAAATACTATACGCAAATGATTTCTATAAAGAATTACATTTCAGAAGGAAATAAGCAATTTTATTCCATCTTATAAATAGAAATTCGGATTTCATTGTACATGGTTAGAGGAAAAGAAATCGGATTCTAGTATTCAAAGTTATTTCAGAATGCAACATCAGAAAGTTATGCTTTTAATTTTTATAATATGCTTTTTAGCAAAACTATCATTCGGCTTTAAATTGCCAGAAAAGATTCCTGACGTCGAAATAGCACATCACCGCAAATGCCTGGAATTTATAATATGTACTGAATCAGGTATGGAATATTTTACATACAACATTGCAACTAACTATCTTTCGATATTCTTTATTTAATTATTTCTTTTTAATTTAGTCCACGCAGTGAAAAAATGAAAAGAACCGACACTCAGAGGGCCTGTAATTTCTATCGTTATATCCATTTTTACAGCAACAAGTTACTGAGCAAAACTCTGATGTACCGTAATTTTTACAGAAAATCGCAAGTATTTCACAGTTAATTGCCGCAAAATTGCAAATAATTCTATTTAAATAAATATTACTGAAAATATGACAGTGCAAAATTTTACAGTTGAATGATTGTACGGATGATGCACTCAGAGTATCGGTACTTAAATTGATCCTGAACATTTTTTACAGTGTCTATATGTACTTCATTTATTGCATCTTGGGATTTACCTATTCATACAATACATCACTCATACTTGAATATCACTAATTTTATATTACTTTTGCCTAAATTTCTTTATTGATAGAATTAATATAGACTTGCATTTAAAAATTTATTAAATGACCTAAAAAATCTTAAATAAATTAGTTATGAATGAAAACTAATTCATATCTTAATGTTACAGAAATTCATAGTTTGAACTAAGAACATAAAAAAGTTTACGTGTGTGTTGCAAAGTCCACAAGGATATACATATTTTGAGCTAACTGGGACAGCTAAACATACTTTGACCAGTGGAAGTTCCAAAAGCATACACATTTTGATAGTTTTATTCTTTTTCGAAATATAAATTATTTTACTTAAGAAATGAGAAATTTACCTTGGTACATCATGGTACTTATATTCCTTAGTTTTGTTTTCTAATGCAAGAACCATATCTTTTTTTTTAATTTTGAAATCAAACTGAATAAAGAAAGTATGCAGTAACTAAGGAAATTCTTTTGCAAATGCCTGGAAAAACAGAATTAACAGGTTTCAACTACATTTACTGAAGGCAAAATTCTCATCACTGTTGTAACTACTATATATATATATATATA